GGGTCCACCTGCAGCCTTTTTGGTGCTGCAGCTGCTGTTTACTATCAACTCATGTGAGGTAAGTAGATGCCACGACCTCATACCCCTCTTCTCTGTGTTAAAACATCACAAACCAAACATGTCTTTTTCAATATTACATCAGATGTTCGGGGTTGGTGAAGATGTATAATCGTGTCCCATGGAGAGATAACTTTCAATGTTTTTTTGTCCGATAATTCTTTCTAACTCATTTTTCTTAACTTTAAAGCATTGAAATAGTGAATTTAATGTTGCGGCCAATTAGTTTTGGCTTTCAGTCACATTTTATAACTTTGCTTTGGTCTTTTGCACCATAAAAACATATTGATATGATGTATTTCCTAGAAATGCAAAGGGAGAGCTGCCTTGGTGACCATAAATACCCTGAAGGTGTTTCAAACTGCTCAGTTGTCGTTTCTACTCTATTGTGGCCCTCCATCTCCTGACGACCATGTTACTCCTAAGTGCTGCTGATTGAAATATTCATGTTAGTTTTGTCTATTCGCTGAAGGGCTCCTTATGTATAATCCATGTGTATCCTGAGGCTTATTTACTGAGACAAGAAAGCTAGAGCATGTAGCTGCTGATGAGAACAAAGGCATAATAAAACATTTAGCATAGGTTAGTTAAATTGTCGACATATAATAGCTCCAGGCGGTAACCACAGATCAGCGATGTTCTTCTGTAGTTGAGTTGCATTTAGGAGATGCTCGTCTTGTAGTACCATGAGAAACACTCTCACACACAGCTATTAACACTAATGTACTGTAGCGGGTCTTGGTGACCTCAGGCAATCTTTCACAGCTCAGAAAACATACTAAACACTGTTTCATCAGCTTGATACTGCAAGGGAAATTATGCATCACCAAGCAAACCTCTGGGTCTGAAAAAATGAAGCCAATGTGGAATTGTCTTAAAGGTCCCATCATATGCTTTTCTGGTTATTACCCGTCCCCTTGTGTGTTGTGTAGCTTTTTCTGCATATAAACGGTCTGCAAAGTCACAAACCCTCAAAGCTTTGCGCACGAACCAATTTCCCATAATCTGTGGCGGAAAATTTAAGGCGGGGCCTCTCATATGACGCACACCTCCACTAGGGATGCTCCGATCGCCAATTTCGGGGCCGATCGCCGATCCGATCGAGTGGGCGGGGCCTAAATAGAAGATTTAAACATCACTTTAAATCTTCCATTTAAAGTGATGTTTAAACTCAGTTAATGGGGCTCATTCACTGGAGCTTCCACAAACAACAATCAACTTAATTATTACATTCAAATGATGTACATTATTCAAGTTTACATTCACTTTGGATAATAACACGGGATAAATGAGCGGAAGCGCTCTCTTTTCCTCTCTCCCTCTCTCTCTCTCCCCCCTCTCTCCCTCTGCTGACAGCCTGTCAGTATCTCATGGAGCTCACTGATCCAGTAATGAGTGACTCGACAGTGAAGAATACATATATTTATAATGACTAGTTTAGCTTGTTCCAGAGGTAGATAAAATAGCTAAGTGTGTTAGGTCTAACTCTTGTGTGTTTCGTTCCGCTTACCGGTCCGGCGGGCGGAGCTGCAGGATTTCTGCTTCACACACGTTGCATACCGCTATTTTACTGTCTTTTTCGGACACCTTAAAATAATGCCAGACCGGTGAAGCCATTTTGGCGAGCTTGTTTTGCCGCACACAGAGAAAAGTGTCATGTATTTTACGTCATGTGATCGGCTCTCGTGATCGGCATGTTTAGAGAGCACCGATCGATCGGTAGAGAGTGAGTATCGGCCGATCTCGATCGGTGACCGATCGATCGGAGCATCCCTAACCTGCAAACTTGCTCGCCTTTTCCACTCTTGCCAGGAAGGATTCTTGCCTAGCTTCTGAAGGAAGTGACTCGGAAGACATGCCCTACCAAGGAAGCGTCCTCGACATTGAGAAACACCCCCTGTAGCGAGTAAAACTCTAACACAGAAAATAAGTGTCTATGCTGCCCCAGAACGCCTCGTTGGAGATTTTTCTTTTTCCATTTTTTCCTTCCGGGGCCTTCTGACGTAACTAAGTCCAAATGGACAAAAGCTCCGTACACTGCGGAGCTCAGCCTGAGCACACACACACACACACACACACACTAACAGGCTGTGAGTGTGTGTGTGTGTGTGTGTGTGTGTTCAGGCTGAGCTCCGCAGTGTCTCGCTGTCTCGCAGACCCCACACAGAAACCAGGAAACAACACCAGTAATCCAGCTCACACTGTCGGCTCCTCGAGTCTCAAAGGGCGGGGCAGCGAGCCCCGCAACGTCCCGCCGACACGGCACCCAGACCCCACGCAGCATTCTCATCTGTTTGTCATTACTGGTGTCATTTTCTGGTTGCTAACAAACGCCATTGTAACACATAATCACTGATGTTAAGCTGTAACGGTGGTAGACTAATCAGAACAGAGTGGGCGAGCTGACCAATCAGAGCACAGTGGGCTCATAGGGAGGGGGGGGGGCAGGAGCTCCAACAAGCCGTTTAGGACAGAGAGTGACTATACTACATACTATACAGAGATGCTGTATGAGAAACCAATGTGAGTTTGGAAAATTGCACAATATAAATCTATTCTTGTAGACCTCAACAATGGAATTATGATCAGTAGAAATGGCCATGACATGGGACCTTTAAACTTGCGTTCTCAGTATTAACCAGCAGGGTCACAAAAAAAGAGTCAGATTGTATAGAAGTCTATGAGAAAATTACCTGATTTATCACTGGATGTATTACCTCACTTAGCATTGGTTTCTAAAGAGTGTATGGTCTTAGTGGCTAGTTTTATATCTCTTCAGTTTCAATACAGCTCGCTATTCTGTTTGTAAATGATGGTTATTTAGAATAAAATATATAAAAAGCATGGTGTGCCAGATGGCGTGGTTACCTTATGATTGACAGGTCCCTACAGTGGCGTTGTTTGGTCTTGGTGCTCTCTGTGTTTTCGTCTAAGAAAAGTATTTGAATGAACCAACAAATAAATGACCATGATTGTACAGTATGAATGATGTTTATCTACGAATGTCAGATAACTGTGTTTAATTTAACAAAGACAAAACTCATCTTTGGTTCAGAAGCTTTTTGACAGAAAACTGCAAATGTCATTCTGGAGAGCAGAAACTGAAGCTAGAAATATATGAGTGTAATCATAGACAGCAAACTAACTTTTAAGAGCCATACTAATCATCACAGCCTTGTACCATTTCAAAAACATTTTCAAACTTATGGGCTTTCTATCAAAACCTGACTCTGAGATATGAATTCATGCATTAATAACAAGCTAGACTGCTGTTATGGATTATTCACCGGCACCCATTTCAAATCAGCAGTGCAGCGACTACAGCTGATTTCTTTCCAAAATAACATGAATGAACACTTTACAAGATTATAAGATCTGTGCATTGGTTCCTCATTCAAACTTGAATTTATTTCTGTTACTTGTAAACAAAGCTCACACGGCTTTGCACCTCAGTACAAAAAAACATGCTTATGAAAGAAACCAACAAGACCATCTACTGGAACTAGCTAACTCTGAAACAGGAGAGGCTGCTATCTGTATTTATTCCCCAAGTAGATGGAACACCATGCTTGTATTTGTCGGTGAGAGTGTGTGTGTGTTTTTTTAAGAACTTGTGTGTGTGACTGTGTCTTGAATATGTTGTCCCTTGTATATAATAGATTTTCTAGCACGTTGTTTTGCATGATGTTATGAACTGAATCTGCTTTAAAAATCATGTTGATTTAGATCTTGAACTCGTTTACATTGCTTTTTCAGTTAATGAAACATTGTAGTCACTTCAAAAAAGCTTGAGGCTTCAGAGCCATAGTCCACAAACCAATGGCTACCAATGGCATTACTTATAATATTAAGATCATATGACATAATGGAGACAAGTGAAATGAGACACTGCAATAAGCTATAGAACAGGGACCCAGACATTAAACATAACGTATTACATTACATTTGATCATTACATCCATAATTGAGTATTATACAGAAACATTACAAGCTCAAATCTAAGCTACTCTCATCCTAACTATTTATTAATGGTCTAAAATATGTATTCAATCAGTCTAAATATTGGTTTCAAATAGGTAAGATATAATAAAAACAGACTCACTATAGTGGAAAACTATGGCACATAATCCATGCATTGTGTTATTTCCTGACTCTCCATAACTGTTGACTATATGTGCAAAAGGCAGCATACTGGGCACTCCATACATGCACAGTATATGTCTTGTGGAATTGAGACATACTTCCGCTCTATAGCTCCTTTTCTTTATCTGCAGACTCTCTGCAGCTTGACACAAACACAACAATGTAGTGTGGCACAGTGACTGGATGTTATTGGGGATGTTGTTGCCTCCATGGAAACGCTGCAGACAGATCAAATAAAAACATCCTTTGAACATCTTGTTCCTCCACTCAAGTCTTGCTCAAAATGAGAAACAGCTTGCATACTGAGCTGGGGACAGGGGACTGCTTGCCACAAGGGGACAGTGTTGCATCAGTATGCAGTCCACATATTGCACATATACAGACACACACACACATACATACATGTCAATCTATAGCATTGTGCTTTCATGTAGCCGTTTGCGTTCAATCAATACAAAGGAAAATGGGGCGAAACGTGCAAAGAGGGAACAAAAAGGCTGCAGGAAAGACGAAAAAGAGGAAATTAGAGGACAATAAAACAAGGAGGAAAGGATGCATGCATAGGAAAGGAGATAACAAGAGAAAGGAGGATACATGTACAGCTGTTTCTTGTCATTTCATATTTTATATTATCTGCTTGTTCATTAAGGAGAAATGTGTTGAAGAAGCTCAGAGAATAGATGAGAGCATGAGTGAGAGGGAGAGATGGAGGAGTGTGTCTGTGAGGGAGGGAGGGAGAGGAGAGCGTTAGTGGATAAATGAGAGAGCAGCGCTGGCTCAGCCACAGCTTCTTACTGCCAGGCGGAGGAAGGAGTCCAGGAAACACACACAGAGATCAGTCGGACCTAAGCAGCTGTTTCCAGGAGCTTCTCCTGCAGCCTCAGAAGAGCGTTGGATTTTCCCTCTTGATTCATCTTCACATGGAGGCATCTGGAGAGGCTTGTGCTCCAGGATTGGTCCTCTAACCTGTGGCAGTGTAGGAGACTTTAGCAGCGGGACCATCCTGGCTGGGTTTTCTTCTTGGGCTTATTGCTCGTGTTACCTGTCGCATCATGTTGTGCGGCTGCTGTTTTTAGCATGAATCCTGTCAACAGTTTGGACTGTGTGTGAGAGCCGGCCAGAGTTTCTGTTTGTTTGTGTGTGAATGTGTGTGTGTGAGGATGAGTGTTCCCATGTTGAAGATTGGCGCTGTGCTCAGCACCATGGCGATGGTAACTAACTGGATGTCCCAGACCCTGCCGTCGCTGGTGGGACTCAATGGAACCATCATTTCCCCTGAGGGCACACATGAGCGGATCATCAGTGTATGTATTCTGTAAAAACACACTTTGTACACACACACACACACACACACACACACACACACACACACACACACACACACACACACACACACACACACACACACACACACACACACACACACACACACATACACACACACATACACACACACACACACACACACACACACACACACACACACACACACACACACACACACACACACATACACACACACACACACACCACACACATACACACATACACACACACACATACACACACACATACACACACACACACACACACACACACACTGTATGAAGAAACATAATTGCTTGTTTTGGTCACCAGAAGTCCAGCTTTCTCTAACATTCTGTTCAATAGGAGTCAGACGAGATAAAAGATGTGTTTATTGCTGCTGAAGTTTATCTTGTGTTCATCCAGTGTTCAAACACATACTTCAATCAGCTGTTGTGAACACATCAGCACCCACTCAGTGCATAGTATTGCATTAGCTCTCTAATAGGACGTTCTCTCAATTTGATTAGAGCGACTGCTCCTTTTAATTGCAGCAACACACCCAGAGAATGTTCCAAATGACAGGGATAATGAGTCAGGTTAAGGGATCAACACATGCCGTCATATTTAGCCCTCATGCAGCAGATATCTGATCTGTCCACTGGTGCAGAACATAGAACAAAGGAGCACAAGAAACACAAAAAGAAGAACAGATTCAGAGCTACATGTGGGGGAAGAAAAAAGGGCAGTGTGCTGCCTTTAGAAAAATAAAGTGCACTCAATAAATAATATTTTCTGTTTATATGACTCTTAAAGTACATGTGTACAGTATACACACACACACACACACACACACACACACACACACACACACACACACACACACACACACACACACACACACACACACACACAGAGGCGTAATAGGATTGCTCTCTCTCTCTGACTTACTGGGGTGATATTTCTCCTGGGGAAGGCTGACTCACCCATGGGACAGCAAGCAATTTGTTGCCCTAGCAACAACCTGGCAACCCATGTATATGCTGGACCGCTGCACATACAGGTCTTTTAACTCGGTATATAAACTGTGTGTGTTTATGTGCAATCCTGGGCTTTGCATGATTTAGCTTTCTGGCTGGAGAGGCGCCTCACAGCTGCTGTGTGGTGGTACTTTGCAAGTTCAGCAAAGTGCATGCAGTCTCATGCAACTATACGCCCACACTCACACACACACTCACACACACACACTCACACACACACGCACACACACACACACACTCACAAAAAAACTCACACAAACACACTCACACACACAAGCAGTGGCTGAGAACAGATGGAGATGTTCAGTGCTGCTCTTCATGCCATGTCAGCAGATGACAAACAGGAATCTCTGAGATTTTCAGCTTTTGTGTGACTGTAAATCACTTTGACGATGTTTTCCGTTGTTCCTAACCTAACAGTTCTGTCAAAATAAATCAAACACTTCATTGACATCCATCAAAATGTGATTATTATAAAAGTGAAATGACACCGTTTTTTTTTTCATCCATTGGTTCAGGCTGGTTTGGTCAAGTGTATCCATTCATTTGAGTTATTTCAATAGTTCATCCATTTATATTGGCTAACTGGGGAATATAATGGTAATAATACATTACCATTGCCAATTTAACCATTTATTTATTATTTTTAGCGACCTATTTGAACCATTCACAGATTATCTTTAGCTATTTTCACCATTTATCTGTTCCATTTACCTACTATAAACATTTATCTATTACTTTTTCCAATTAAAACCCTATTACCTTCAGAAAAAAAGCCATAGGGTTCAAATAAAGGTTGATGTCAACGTGTAGATGTTTAGATTTGTTGTGTGTGAATAACACTACAGTATCTCCACCTCCTCTCTTTATCTTTTTAATTATCCCAGGAATTAAGCTCTGTTAGCTCTCAACACTCTCTCTCTATTTGCACTGATCACAATCAGCTTTGCTGCCTGAGTAGATTTTTATCATGTTTCCCTCGTGTGAAATTAACCCTTAGGTGCCTTATGTCGTCCTCTGTTTAATGACATCCAGCAGTAGGCACAAACGGTGCTTATATTCTCATCCCATCCACGTCCTCCTTTAAAACACCCCTACCCCGTCCGCTGTATTGTAAATAGGACTTCAAGGTTAGCACAGCAAACCCAGCTGATTGACTTATCAGATGTTTCCCTCCAGGCCCCCCCCCCACCCCCATGTCTCCATGCACCCAGCCTCCTCTGTCATTATTCTTTTTCATGGTTTGTAGGGCAGCCTCTCAGCCTGAACACTGTGACAGGCGGGTGTGTGTCATGCTTTTACATTGTTCCTAAATATTGGCACTTCTACTGTAAGTAGGTCAGACTGAAGACCCAGTTAAAGCTCGCCTAAATAAGCTTATCATTCGTTTGTTGTGAAATGAGTCCAACGTTTTAGACCGCAGGGGAATTTTTGCTGTCACCTCAGCACTACCTAATGATGTCCCAAAATAACTCTCATTTATTCTATAAAGCATGCCTCATTATATAACCACTGAGATGGTGTTTTTGAACTGTTGATAAAGAGTGCAGCTTTGAGCATCACATGAACAAAATCTACGTTGTTCTCATTAAAGAAACCTAATGGGGAAATCGGAGCACTACTGAATACCTTATGCTGCAATTAAAATACTGTTTTTAATGCATTAAAATATTTCATTCAATCTATCTAATATGAAATGGATTGCATTCATGTTTGTTTTTTTAGCAAATCACTGGTGCATCAAGTGGTGCACTTTCAAAATGTGATTATACAATCTGCACTAGTGCATTTGGCTTATTGGGAGCAAATTAAAAGCTGTAAAAACTGAAGTGAGCTAAGATAATACAGAACTTCCAGCGATCTTAAACACCCAGATGATACAGAGCAACATTGACAAACAAATCTGAATTTAAATAAACAATGTTGTAATTACTTTGTGGTTATTTGGCTTTTCAGCTGCTAAATGCTCCACTGTGTCCACCAGCTAGTCTCTTAATGAGGCTGTGGCTCAGTGAATAGTGCGCTGAACTTGGAATCAGGGGGTAGCAAGTTCGAGTCCCACTGCAGTCAGCATGTCGTTGTGTCCCTGGCCAAATTGTTCCTGTGGGGATTGTCCACAGTATTGAATGTATGTAAGTCGCTTTGGATAAAAGCGTCTAACAAGTGAAATGTCATGTAATTAGGGTTGCAAAATTCCGGGAATTTTCAAAGATTGAAACTTTCCATGGGAATAAACTGGGCATTTTCTAAATTGAAGGTTGGCTCTTCATAGGGAACTTAAATATAGTTGGGGAAAGTATATTTTATCATAATCTTGACTAAAACAAACAGATGCCATTCAAGTACACTTGAATATCCATGCCATAGCACACTGCTTACTGCATGGCTATTGAGACCACACAAAGGTTCGCAACAGGCTCACAAATGTGAGAGTGGAAAAACTGGTTGGCATTCGGGCAAACCTAAGGCTCTCTGAGCCTGACACAGAGCCATCCTCAACAAGGCTGGACAGTGACACTGCAGAGGAAGACTCAGAGGTGGATGTTGATGAGGCCCAGGAAGAGCCCATTGACTGAAAGGGTTTAGCCAAAATGCAGAGGATTGCTTGAAGGAAGATTTTAATGTGTAATGGGACTGTTTGGAGGGAGAAGATCTCTTTTCATTTAACATTTAGAATGGGACATTGTGGGGATTTTTGGATGGGGGGTGCATTTTGTTCATTTTTTAATGAGTGGGGTTGAGGGGGATGAGTAATATTTAACTCAACATTCCTGTCCCATTCATTCGTTCTTCAATGAAACAAATAATTGTTTAATAAAATAATTAAAACTTGTTCTGTTCTACTTAAAAAAACAACAATTGTTTTTAAATAAATCTGTTGAAATGTCATGTTTTTTGTTTAATTTTGCATCGAATATTTCCAAAATTCCCCAGCTTAACTTCCCATGGAAACTTTCCGGAAACTTTCCAACCCTAAATGTAATGTAATGTGTTTCCTGTCCTTTTAGAGCCTCCTGAGGCACAAAACAAAGCTATGTTAGCAGAGTCAGGGATACATTTCTGATGATTGTGTCACTACTTTCACACACAAGTAGTCACATGATCTTACTTATATTGAAAATAATAATTAAACCAGCTTTAACTGGGGTTTTTTTTGGTTCATAAATCCATAATAAAGTGTCAATGTTTTTTAGATTAATACCTGAACCCCAAGAATACAACTAAATCTCAAGTGTTATAAAGTGCACCACTTCAAATGACCAACCACATACATTCAGATAAATGGTAAATAAAACAATTTCAACAATATATAATAATAATAATCAATGAGGTATTTAGTTGCTGGCCTTTTATCTTCATAATTGTCTTTCATATCTGGTAATACAACATCTGAAAGTATTTTCCAGGGACAAAATGACATGCTTTAGTTGTGTGGTTAAAGAGAAATGGGGCAGTCGCAAGCAAACAGTGTGTTGAAGAAATGTGTTTCTACTATGAGAATGAACATGTACCAGCTAGAGTAGAATTGGTCTGGACTGTGAGTCGGGTAGAAATCTTTTTTTTAAATTCAGATTTGTGGGAGCTCAGGGGAGCCGGTGAGTTTCTGCCAAAGAGAACAGCAGCTCGGTCTGTGGAATCAGAGCGTGGACACTCTCCAGTTCTGCTGCCAGCTCTCCTGGACACGAGCATGTGGGAGATGTCACGGCTGATTTTAGCTGCAAACAAGAGATATCTCATTTAGACACAGTTGTGTAGAATAAAGTGCACATTCCTTTTTAACAATAATGGACTCCTGAAATCCTGCTGAGATTTACCTTCAAGATAGAATAGGACAGGGACATTTTAAAACACATATTTGTCCACTTTCTAACAACAACCAGATATGAGTAACATGTTGAGCAAATGGGTGTTAGAAAAGGCACAACGGAAACTGCTTCGGTTGTATGACTCATACCGTCCTTTTGAAAAACACTTTTACACAAAAACAGATTCACACAAAATAACAAAAACATAGCAAACACAAACATGACAACATTTCAAGTCTGTGAAATATAGTTTAAGCAATGCTTTTTATTTTTGCTTTAAAGGAGCACTGCCCTATTTTCTTTCGATTTTTGTCTTTTCATTTTCCCTTTTCTATGAATCTAATTTATTAAATGGATCCTACTGTAACCCTACTATACACTGTCTGAATGAACACACATGTATATGAGTGCAGTCTGTAGGGAAGAAAACCCTAAGGGATGTGATTTAAATCTAAATATTCCCTAGCATCCTTGGCAATGTTGATGGAGCTTGATCTGTATGCACACTGTAGAAGAAGCACATTAGAAATGTCATTTGAATGTATTGATTTTAAATAAGCAGAAGTAGCCATTTGTCACATTTAAGGAGCTGCTGGAGACCGGGACTTTTTTACGACTCTCACTTTGACACAAAAGTTAAACATAATCAGCATATTTAACAATTGTTACAGATATGCCCAATGCACTTATTGTTTTCACACTATAAGACCGTTTACAATCCGACAGGAAAAGGCTGGTTACTGAAGGAATTGTACATGAAATGTTTATAAAATGTGAAAACTGAAGTCAGGTAGAAAGTTGCTTTTTAGAAATAAAATCCTATTGATTGTAAATAAACCATTAAATCCAGTATTAAAGTTTCTCTGAGACCTTCTCCTCTGTAGGACTCCCTCTGTTCTTCCTGCAGGGACTCAGTTAACAGAGCTTGTTTGTGTGCAGGGTCTGTACCCGGGCTCAGAGGAGGGCTGGCAGGTGTACAGCACGGCGTCTGATCCGGACGGCAGATGTGTTTGCACGGTGGTCGCTCCGGCTCGAAACCTCTGCAAACGAGACCCTCGGAGTCGACAGCTACGCCTGCTGACTGAACAGGTTTGTGTTTGTCTCTCCTCTTTGAGTGCTTCCCTGCATGTTTCACTGGTCAGCATTGTGAAATGCACAGGGGAAAGTCAGCATACTGGAATCAAATATTCACTGGCCTGTCTCTTTGTTTTGACACTTGCAGTAACACACATGAACACACACACACACCCACACACACGAGTTTCACTGACAGATGTATACTCCTTGATACATCAGTAGCTGTATCCTCTAAAGACTCCCAGTCATTCAACACGCCAAAAGAGTTTAAGCTCAAAGGAAATACTGACAGATGGGTGGGAAAGAAACAATTTGTTCTACATTGCAGGCTGCAGCTCTGTATTTGTTTGCATGAATGTTAATATGTTCATAGAGCATGTTTATGTGAGGAAATGCATTCAGCTGCGTTAGCACATTCCTCTAAATGTATATGTGCTTCCTGAGAGAGAAATCAAAATGATTTGTGACAGAATTGATGAATTATTGAACACCGTCAGGCCAGCATTTCTAAAGCATGCACTTACTTTGCACATCAGGATATATATGCATCCTGTTTTCTTGCCAAAGTGTTCCAAGGCACACTAACAATAACTTAAAGAGGATCATTTTCATTCACGGCTGGTGCTGCATTCAGGGCTCTTTTCAGCATGAGAAAATATCAGCACTATCAGGAATAACTTCTCCTCGCTCTGTTCCTGTTGGGAGGCTTCTGTATTTATGAATCTTAATTAGCTCAGTGTGTCTGGAAGTGACACCTAGATCCTGCTGAGGGTGTTAATGTGTGTGTATGAATGCATGTGTGTGTTTACGTGTCTCCGGCCTCCGTAGCATGTGTAACAGTGGGACATGTGTGGGTGGGTTTTTTCCCTTAGTGTTTGTTTGTTGTTTGTTTTCATATCACTTCAGGATATCTGGGTCATCTTGATAATGGATTTTTCAGGGTTTTTTGTTCACGCTTGTTTTTTTACATCCAGTAACAAAAGAGATTTGAAGTATCTGGTAGCTTTTCAGGGTGCTTAATGAGAAGAGGCGTGGGAGTTGGCTTGTCCCGCTAATTCATTTTGATACATTTTCCCCGAAATTATTGCGATAAACGATAATATTGTCGGCACCGTTGTAAGACCATCTTAGACCACTGACATAATGATAATATATAATAATAATTCAAGTACATCCTGTCAAACATAACTTTTTATTGAACATCCAACATTGCAAATGAAATGTGAAATAATATTCAAATATATAAATTATATATAATAAATAAAACAAATTAAATTATAAAAAATGTATTAAATCACACACAACCAACACAATCAATTAAATAGACTCAGGCTGGAAAACAGAGCTCTCTCTCTTATATATATATATATATATATATATATATATATATAAATAAATAAATATGAGCACACATTGTCTCACAAAAACCTCCTTAAAATAGCACCACTGTCCATACAAAGACCCAGATGCCTCAACAGGCCATATTCAAATCTGTATTTCAAAGAGCAAGGAACACCAACATGTTTGCATTGTCGGGCAAATACATCTTTGATTGTAAACTGTCGGGAAGGTGGGGGATCTCCATCTCCAGCTGCCGTGTTTGCTCCCAGCTGGGAAAACGGAATGGGGTGGTTGTGTTTCAGGTGCAGTTTAAGGTTGGTCGTATTGCTAGCTTTTGTTGCTACCTTTTTAAAACAAATGCGACACACCGCCCGGCTCAATCAAGTCCGTAGGTTCGCCTCGTTGATTTGGCTTAAATCAAAAATATTCCCACACCGGAGATGTGGTATTAGGTTTTGCAACCAACTGCATTTAACTCCAAATTCCCCTCGAGTAAGTCACACGTTGTCTCCTGCTTGTCTCTATATTATTAATTTGGCTGCTACACTGTTGCACCCGGAGTTTCCTGACTTGGCTGTGTGTGAGCCCCGCCCCTCACAGCGCGCCGGGCTACAATTCTGGTCACATCCTTATGTAAACAAACACGCATGTAAACGGCAATTTATCGAGCTCAGACAAGTTATCGAGTCCATTTTTATTTAGCGTACGATAAGTCAATTTATTGATTATCGCGACAGGCCTACGTGGGAGTGTGTTTGTTGTCTCTGGAGCAGGACAGAGTCTAGGTGAGAACCTCATGTTTAAATGGATCCAGGTTCTTCAGAGAGAAACAGGATCTGTGTGACTTTGCATCATGTTTTGGAGTGAAGATGGTCTGAATATTAAGAGGTCAGCTTGGCTTGATTTGTTCATTCTTTAGTCATCTGCTGCCTTCACGTTGAAATTGAGATGGAAGGAATTGCCTGTGGTGCTCGCAGCTCCACAATATTTCATAAAAATTCAGAAGCAGCGTGTCTCTAGAATCAGATTACCATGAAATGTTGAACAGACATGTGTGCCTTTCTGCTTTCCTCTTAAGGTTGACATTTTACGTTCAAAGTGAATTATATTGACAGACTATGGCTGTGCCGCATATTTGCGAAAAGTATTTACGTTTCCTGGTGGTAAAATGTTAAAACCTCAATTATCTTTTCAAGTATATTTAGCTCTAACGTCAAGTTAACATTTTGATATGTACAACACTTTGTTTTATAACTAAAAATCTTGCTAAACTGATAACATTCCCATCCTCCTCAGCTGTCCTTTTTTGTATTAAAAACAGCGTCACATGTGCTAGATAGTCGAAGACTCTTAATCTTGTTGATTAATTAATTACGGAAATACTGTCACCCTGTAGTAAACAAGTCTCATAGCAATTTTCTCACTTAAAATATGTCTTACAGCTTTTCTGAGATGCACTCACAGAAGCTCCCTCTGGAGGGAACTTTGGGATTTAGACCTTTGCAGACCATTTACACACACACAAAAACCTATAAAACACACTATAGGAAAGTGGAACAACCCTTTAAATATTCCATCTCACAGCCATATTTAACAACAGGTGTTTGGGAACAACAAGCAGGTGGCAGGAATCCAGCAACTGCCAAAAGCAATCATAATCCTTTTTGGCAATATGCAGTGTACTAACAATCATTAATCATTTTGTCAACCCTGTGTGTGTTTTAGGTTCAGAATGTGAGTCAGTCCATGGAGGTGGTAGACCTGCGGACATCCAGAGACCTGCAGTATGTCCGAGACTCTGAGCCGCTGCTGAGAGGAGTGGACGGACGTTTACACACATATGTCTCCAACCCACGCACTCTGACGACTAAGGGCCTGCAGGTAGACACACACACACACACACACACACACACACACACACACACACACACACACACACACACACACACACACATAAAGACACCCAGACACACACAGTGTAAGACGGTCGCCGTGGGGAACACATAACCTTTGGTGTGAAAACATTGATTTCACGCATGCCAAGCTGAAGTTTTTTGCCCGCACTCAGACACGCGAGCGTCTTCCATGAAGGGCACAAAATGTGCGCTGAGTAAAAGTGTCACACAGCTTTGTGCAGAAGGTGCCAGCGAAACTGCAGCGTCACTGCACACATTAAGAAAAGAGAAAAAAAAGAGAATCTGTCTGGAATGAATCTCACATTTAAATATTGATGATGACATTTACATAATATTTACACAACCAAAAGCAGAGAGAGTTCTTGTACAACATTCAGCTCGATGTCATTTTTTAATTTTCAGGAGAGAAGATAAGATTACCTGGCTAGATAAGTGTTGCCTTTAAACAAGGGATATTTTGTGCACCTCCTACATTAAGAGTTCTTATCTCATCAGTGTGTTTTCTCCCATGATGCCGCTGGCAGGCATCTGTGCCAACAACAAACCAGCAGGCAAGTGGAAGATTATCTCAAGAGTTATAGAGAATGAAAAGGCTGGTGGATCTAAGCAGCAAGTGATCCACACAGTTAAATCAGCTGTGACATTGCTGCTTCAATCTTCGCAGTTTGGCAGTAAACTACTCATAATGACACTCAACTAAAAGGTGGTAAAACCCTGTAAACTGTCTACTTCTGTGGGTAAGTTTGGCACTAAGGATTGATTTGGCATCTTGTCACATTTGAATGTACAAAGTGGGCTACATTTCAGTCGTAGTAAGGACATTCTATACATAGAAGCAGGGGCGGTTCTAGGGGGGGGGGGCAACATGGGCCAGTGCCCCCGTAACACTGACCAGGGACACCCCTGTGGCCCCCCTCCACAAAAAGGTTACAATATTACGATTTATTGGAACTAAATCAAATCAGAAACCCGGATGTACAGTGGAGATTAAACTGTTCATTACCTTATATAAAAGCAAATACTGTTTATGTTTTTTAATTAAATTGTCAATTAAAGTTACTGAAACAAATACTCTAAATGAAAAAAAAAAACCGACTGAAACAAAGGACTGTAACTAAACCAATTACTGTATTTTACACAATTACTTTATACTGTCTTTGTATTTTTAACCTGCTTTTATTGTGCCCCTCTCATGAAATAACTGGCCCCAGCCTGGCCCCCCCAGTGAAATGGGACTAGAACAGCCACTGCATAGAAGTAGTCATTTTTAACCAAATTCAGACTGAATTCAACCTAGATATGTCTTTTGATGTGCAAATTACCAAAGAAAGGGATCAAAAGCTCTTTGATTAGTGTATAAACTACAATTTACTTTATCATGGAGGGTCATGCGTTAGATGGCCAGGAGCACTGACGTCCTGAAATCTCTGTTTTTTGCATAGAAACTCTTAAAATGTTTTGCTGAAATCAGCTAATTATTTATCATGCATGCGCCTATTTCATGAAATGTCAAACTATTGTTTTTTAAATGCCAAACAGCACACATAACATCAATTATTTATGAAGTCATTAGAAGCTCATTAGTCCAACATTGTAGAATAATATATCTAATATTTAAAAAAACATGAGGAGCTATACAAAACTAGCAGAGGCTCCATAGGAGGTCAGGATACACACTCACTGACACACACACACACACACACACACACACACACACACACACACACACACACACACACACACACACACACACACACACACACACACACACACACACGCACACACACACACACACACACACACACACACACACGCACGCACGCACACACACACACACACACACACACACACACATACACACACACTCTCATGCCTTTCGCCTTACTTCCACAAATGGAGAGCATTTCCGTCTTCCCCATAATCCATTCTGCCTTTCATCTTTTTCCGGGCATCTTCTTAACAACATCACGGGGCTCTGGGGTCTGTTTTTAAAGTTTTCATGCAGTTATCTTATGTGTGTGTTCGTGTTTTATGTGTGTGTGTGTGTGTGTGTTCGTGTTTTATGTGTGTGTGTGTGTTCGTGTTTTATGTGTGTGTGTGTGTGTGTGTGTGTGTGTGTGTGTGTGTGTGTGTGTGTGTGTGTGTGTGTGTGTGTGTGTGTGTGTGTGTGTGTGTGTGTGTGTGTGTGTGTGTGTGTGTGTGTGTGTGTGTGTGTGTGTGTGTGTGTGTTGCTCCTTGGGAGTTCTCACAATCATAAGCTTTTGCCTTTGCACTGAGAGGAAGAACTGGTGAATATGTATGCAATGTGCAGCTAGCTACAGTAAGTTTATCAATAACTTAAGAGTATTTTTATCCCTCGGGAGGAACGGAACGAGGGATAAAAATACGAGAAGTGGAGGTCAAACAGAGAGATTAGGACGGATTGATAGATGGAGAGCGTCTGGAAAATGGAGGAGAAAAGGGGAGGAAGTGGATGGTAAGAGATAGCTTATTCCACATTACCATGTCCCCCCTGTGGGAGGGAGGGATGAGAGGAAGTAAAGTAAGAGGCGATGTAAAGGTTACGCAGAGAGAGAGGGGAGATAAAAGAGTGGAACAGGAGAGGAGAGATTAGAGAGATTAAGATGAAGGAGGACACATGGCAGGGGTGGCATTAGCCAGCTAAAGCGGTAACTATCTAACAGGCCTTGACATTCTCTGCATTTTGTCAAGATTGATTGTAATACATATTAATGAACTCTCAATTATATGCATATAATGAAGCCAATACCAGTCAGTGAGGATTAAGTGGCCACATGTAAGGTTAACCACAGAATCCACACACTTTTCTCTTATGGCATGTAAGAATGCTGCGCAAAATGTTTTTTTAAGTGATGTCTGAAATGCATTTAGGTCCTGATTTGAAGATAGCAGGGAATAAAGTGTTTGACTGACTGCCAGGCTTGTTTCCTGCACTGTAAAATGTTTGGCTGTAAAATTACAGTAAATTACTGGCTACTAGTTGCATGGATTTCACAGTAATTTACTTTAAATATTTCACAGTAATTGACTGTAAATATTTCACAGTAATTTACTGTAGATATTTCACAGTAAATTAGAATAAAAGTACAACTAAATACTGTGACTTTACAGTTGCCATGCCCATGGAAATACTGTGATATAGCAGTACAGAGCTGTGGTATTATGGTACCTTGCTGTACATAAATTACAGTAATTACCTGTATTTTCACACTATTACTGTAGAAGTAGTGCAACACAGTAGCCAGTAATTTACTGTAAATATACAAATGTAAATAATAGGATAATATATTGTACATTTGACTAGTTAACTGGGATTTTACCATAACTACACAATTCAATCAGCTCAATCAACAAAGAAAAACAAAGAAAATGCCCATTTTAACTTTGTATTACTCTATTGAAGTGCAAAGTACATTTCACAGTGTCTTGAATGTTGTTACGGCCCCAACCTCTACTCCGCGGTAGTGGCTCGTGCTGAGATCCGCAATATGACAGAATACACGCAATAACCGGTACTTGGTAACGAGCATTTATTGATAATCAGCAGTTTGCTCACACAAGCGAAACGGGAAACAAAAAGAGGTCTGGAGGACTGGCCAAAAGGAACAAACAGGAGGGAACCCGAGCCAGCCACACTACGGGCCATAGGACCCAGAGCTCCCCCCCCCCCACTAACCAGAAATCAAATATAAACCCTATGGGAAAACAAAATAAAGCCGCGAAAACTGGACTACCAGGTCCTCCAGGCTGAACATAAACACATCTGCAAAAATATGGCATACAGCTCAAAATGGCAAAGAGGTATTCTAAGGAGAGTGTCTCCCGGGGCCCTTCTCACTTCGGTTAAATGGAATCCTTGCTTCCCTCACTTGCGTCGTTTCCCTGCGACTAGTCCCTCCCACCAGGGAAGAATGGAGAGACGCAAGGAAACCACGAGAAGCAGGGAAATTAGTTTTAAGAGCAATGGGACGTCCTTTCCTCCGGAGCGTCACGTGAAGCGACATCCGTTTGTGATGACACTGCACAGCTGATCGCCTGACAGCAGCTCTGTCCCCGTTATTTCCACACACACCCCCTCCTCTGTTAGCACACATTTACTGACACAAACATTTGTATCATCTGTTGTAGACCCAAATACATTAAATCAAATAAGAACTAATTCTCAAAAAAGATAAACGCCATTCTTAAAATGTATAAACGAACAATAGTTTGATTAATATTGATTAGAGTGCACAAAAGAAATAAAATAATTGAGAGAAGAAAAAGAGATATGTTATCTATCAAAACCCAGTTAGATTAACATTAATTGGATTGCACACTTTGTTTGTTTGTGTGGATATGTAGCACATTAACATTTTAATAGCACTTAATGACTGACTGAATGGAAATGACAATAAATGAAAATGTAAAACGAAAAAAGCGATCATGAAAATGTTTCCAATAAATGAATAAAATGATTTTTGACCACTTTGTTGTTCAGATATATCACATATTTGTAACTAAATGATACATGAATTGAAACAAAACATGGTATAGACTGAGGAGTGACTCCCGTGAGGTTCATGTATTTTCTTCACTCCGCTGGGAAACTGCTCTCATGTCAAGAAGCATCAGATCAGTGCATGCACTGCATCGTCCAATCAGTGAGCGATACACGGTAAGGGGGCGGCGCGAGTGTCTGAGGATTTCATCGGAGAATGGTCTGGTGGTTCCTCGAATATAGCTCCTCCATTATCGCTCCTCGCTCCTCCGGCAAAAATAAGGCCATTGGGACGCTACTCAAGATGGCGCAGACAAATCAACTTCCTGTGAGACCGAGAAGCGAGGAAATGAAAAATAAGAGAAGTGAAACGCAGCCCCGGCGTTAGGATAGGTGAGACATCCTTCTCTTCCAGCTTCTCAGTCTTTATATATATATACGGCTGAGTGGAATTTGGAACACCTGGGCAGAGGCGGTGCCAGGGGCAGACCAGGTGCACCTGGGCAGAGGCGGAGCCAGGGGCAGACCAGGTGCACCTGGGCAGAGGCGGAGCCAGGGGCAGACCAGGTGCACCTGGATACAGAAAATAAAACAAGGAGGGGAGCACATGTCTACGCAGACATCCACTCGAAGTCAACCATTTTTGTCGTGCTGACATGGGGGTTTAAATTGCCATGCCTCTTTTTGGCTTTCGAGCCCGTCTCAGGATTAATGCCCAGGAAGCACCTGAAAACAATAAGCCAAGACAACAATTTAAGTTTTACAAAGATTTATATGTTGCATCGTTTATTTGAAGGCAGATGCAGCGGTGCCCCTTTCAATTTAAGTAAAACCTGCACCAAAGAAAGAAATTAGTATTTAAAGCCAAGCAAGAGCGATAAAAGCAAGAAAATCACTTAATTTGTTGTGTTATCACAGAGGATGGTCTGAATACAGCATTTTACTATGAAATAATACAGTAACATGTTGTGAAATCCTGGTAATCATTGATCCTGTACATTCACAGTAATTAACTGTGCCTGTATTGATTTCACTGTGAAATTCTAAATTACAGTGTTATATTGTGAAATCATGGTAATATTTTACAGTGTGGTGTTGTGTTTTTGTGCGGGGGTGTGACCTGTTTTTCTTCGCTTCTGACACTTCTTTTAATCCTTCTCTTCCTCATATCAAATCCAACTTCTCTTGATACACAGCAGACTGTGTTTTTTGGGGGTGGATTTGTAAATGAAAAGTGTTGAGACAGAGATAATAAAAAGCAGTTTGCTGCCACAGAGTCATGAGTCATTCATACTCTGCATACGCCTAATATTGATCTTCCTTCAGGCTGATTGCAGTTCTCCTCTCTCCATCCACACTCGCCCTAATTTAGCAGGAGAAATTAAAAAGACTACATTGTCAGTAATCGGAAAAAAAGCTGTTTAAATTAGATGCAGAAAAATAGTCATCTCTCCACTTTCTCTTTCCACTTATTGCTGCTTATCCTCTTAGCCCACATGTACTTCTCCTCCAGCCACATCTTCCATCTCCTCCTGTGGGAATGCCAGGCTTTCCCATGCCAGATGGCATATGTCACCCCTCCAGCATTTTCTGGGGGTGCTTTCCATTTAGTTGACATGCCTCCTCGCTTCCCGCTCTCACATCTCTTCCTCACGCTAGCTCCTTCCAGCGGATATTGGAGAGAGAAGTGTGAGGAAGAGGCACAAGGACAACGGCAATTACTCAACAAAGACAGCATCATATTTCTTTCAGATGTATTTTATTGGATTTCTTTTTTACAAAAACAACAAAACAACACCCTAACTATTTTCATAAAATGAGCTGCATACAGAAATAATAACATGTATTAAGGGAAGGAAAGTTAAAAGAGCAAGAGAGGTGGAAACACACCTATTCGGCTATTCTGCTTGGTAGCCCGAACCTTATCAATCAATTAAACTTTGTTTATATAGCATTTCTCAAACACATTGCTTCTCAAACATAACAACTATTATCCAAAGTAAAAACAATGATAACCCTACCCAGCTCCTGAGCAGAGCAACAAATAACCTTTTATACAAAAATACTTAATACCAACAGAAATCAATTAAGAAAACAAACAAGAATAAATGCAATTCAATTAAAAGCCAAATTAAAGCGTATCTAAAAGTATTAACATTTTCTGCCGCCCCTCAGGTAACACGTATGGACTCGGAGTACCACATATTTTCAAGATTAAAGCACAACATCAAGTCTAAAGGCAATGTAAAACGTGTGGATCGGAAAAGCTCCTGCCTTTTTGTTTGAATAACAAGCTTTGCTGGGAGGAAGGCGAGACTATAAATGTTAAGAAATAATAAAGTTAAAAGGTACTAAACGGGTTTTCACATTCAAATCATTAGAAAGGTCCTTTCAGTTTTACAAATGTTAAACACATGAAAGAAATCACATCTTCTTTGTGCCATAGTTCTTCTGTTTCGTGTATTTTTATAACAGTAAGTGTTAAATTAACATATTACAAACCCGTGGTACATGTGGCCTTTTTCACTGAAGCACATGAAGATGGCATTACATGAACATCTTGAGAGAAAAAGCCTTTGTCTGCTGCTTCAATCATGATTATATTCTGTTGCAATCTCAATGTGCAATGGAGTATCAGCCTTAGAAATAGACTGTAAAAGATCACAGCTACAGTAAGTCTGATACGGAAATAATAACTGTCACAGTGCAGATTGATATGTTTTTATGACTGTATTTTTTTCCTGAATTAAATGTGTTCATTCCATTTAATTAAGGTGACGCTTTTATCCAAAACGACTTACAATAAGTGCCGTAAACCCTAAAGATTCAAACTGAGAACATCAAGAAAAGTGCAGATATATTCGATGTACAGTATATACTGTAAGGCAGACCTGAATAATCCAAAAATGCACTTTGAACTCCAAATTCGAAATAAAAATACGAAAAAGAAAAAAAATAGGCCGATGAAGCAAAGGGAGAACATGTTGCAAGAGATTTTTTAGTTTAGTTGATTAGTTTATTTAACAGGGCACAAAACATCCATTGAGCCAGATTTGAGAAATATAACTGCTATAGCTGTGGTCCCTGGGAGGGGAGATACAAAACCGCACACTACAATACAAGCATAACAGTACAAATAATTAAAAGCAAAGTTACATTTACAAGAAGCACAAATAAAATATATAATTAAAAATAGTTATTGATGCAATATTTATTATTATGATTCATCCATTATTCAGATTGAACACACAACTAATCATCTTTATTGTAATGAATGATGTATAACAGAAGAGCTGCATTTGGTGCTTTCTAGTCCCGTTTCCATGTCCAATCTACAATATTTATATCATGCAGCAACATTCATTTTAGAGTAATGCGGATTCAACAAGAGTCCAAATGTCCCTCCGACGTCTCCTGTGGCGGGCCAGCCGACTTAAACAGATTCACATTGAAGAAGTTTTGCTACCAATAAATAAGTGTTCATATATAATACACCTGTGGTTCCTGTGAATGCCTCCTCTCTCCTCGCTGATAATTTCCAGGTGACACGCTGCAGGAGTGCAGACAGTAAAAGTATAATTAGTGTTTTGATCCACAGAGAGGTAGTGGCACTCGGAGGGCGTCCTCACTATAAACACGTTATCTGTGAAGGACCAGTGGCTTCACCCTGAGCCACTTCACAGAAAGAGAGGCTGTTTTCTGACCAACTTTCTACTCATTTTCCAAGCTTTCTTCCCAAGAGGACACAAACATACATATTATTCAACTGTAAATACAGAAAAATAAATAAGGGCAAGATGCCCCTTCACCATCCCCCATCCCACACCTCTTGCCGTTCAATCAGGAGAGACGGTTTTGATGTAAGAATACATATTTATTGCCAGGAATACAGAAATGAATGTAATGGTGTTTTGGCGATTAGACCCCGTTGTGCAGGAGTATCATTCGGGAGGGGAGAACCTATCAGATGAAACCCTCTGGGGTCTAGACACTGGTGGTGGTGAATAGATAGTTAGGTCGGTCTGAAGAGGAGTGGCTTAGCTTGACCCTGGATTCAGAGGGACAGGAGGTGCAAAGGGGTGGAGGAGGGTTGTGTCCAGTCACCTGAAATGACAGCTGTCAGAGGGGAGAGCAGATTTAAAAGGTTTAGCAGAGTGCTATGATAGGCTTGTGGGAATAGAGCGAAGTGATTGGTTTAGCTGGGGATTGACGTCCCTGATCACTTATTGAGAGGAGAGAAAGTAGTAACATAGAAATAGTAAATTAAGAGTAAAGACGGTCTTCCTGGTTGAACTTCATTGAGCTTCATTTGACAAATATCCAATTTTTATATTTTATAATGTTATTATAGTGTTCTTAAAATAGTTTTCTATCTCTGTTTTTTTTGTTTTACTTATGTATGCACCACGACACCAAGTCAAATTCCTAGTACGTATCAACCTACCTGGTAATACACTGTTTCTGATTCTGATATTGTAGATACTGTTTGTTCACATTAGTTCGTCTATGCACACACATTTTAACATAACATTTTTGTCTGAGTTGCCAATGAAGGAGTTTCTCTCCCACACGCCCCCCCCCCCCCCCCCCCCCCCCCATAATATGTCCTCTTTAAAGGAAGCTATCCATTGATTTAATAGATTTCCATCTTGTGAAGAAAATATCAGATTTGCCCACATTAGGATGGACTTAATCTTCCCCCTTACTTATTTTTCTTGCTGTCTTTATCCACAGGAGTTAAAGGGCCAGATGTCCCAGCTCCGACCCCTCCTCTCTGTGGTGGAGCAGTACAGATTGGACCTGCAGACGCTGACCACCCTGCGGATGGAGCTCTACAACCTGTCAATCATCATGACATCCATCCAGGAGGAGATCGGAGCGTACGACTATGAGGAGCTTCAGCAGAGGGTTTTACTGCTGGAGACCAGGCTCCACAGCTGCATGAACAAACTCGGTACGTGCAGTAAAAAGTAGGGGTGCACAAAAAAAAGGATTAACATAAGAATCGCGATTCAGAAATTCCAATTCGCATTCTTCCACAGTTTATAGTTGGGGCACATACATATTTTATTTGAATAGACTTTACTTTTATAAGTACATTGAGTTGAGAATGGTGGCAGGTGATGGCTGCATTCACATTTTTCAGTCTTGCCGGAACGCTGTTTTCAATTTTTTTCTACGGCATGAGCTCCTTAATGTCCCGCTAACATGGCATTTGAATCGTGAATCGTTTGGAATCGCGAATCGAATCGTGACCCCAAGAAATCGAATCGAATCGTGAGATTTCCTGAATCGTGCACCCCTAGTAAAAAGAGTCAGAAATACTCCATAATGCACAGAAAAGTATCACTTATTCTGCCTTAAAAATTATGGTTGTATTGGTAATTCAAGTAGGTGAAATGTCTGGTATTTGAGTGGGGCACGCCATAGATTATATGCTGGACGATGAGTTTATTTTCCCAAGCAACACATCAGCCTTTTGAAATAGTAATATAATCCATTTCGGGGCTCTGGAGGGAGCTTTTTAAAAATAAAAAAGGGCAGAAAACAGCGTTCTGATATAGGGCAGGGAAGTTTGAAATGTGTTAACAGGAAGGAGAACTCGGGCCATGCTTATTACCGTTCCTTTTTTTTCTTCTGAACATCCGCATTCTTCATCAAACTTTTACCTCTTTCTCCAGTCATATTTGTTCTCTCTTAGGATTTTTGGGTAAGGAAACATTTCTTCCACAGTTTATAGTTGGGGCACGGCACATACATATTTGATTTGAATAGACTTTACTTTTATAAGTAAATTGAGTTGAGAATGGTGGCAGGTGATGGCTGCCTTCTAAACAAGCTGGCAAGGAGGCTTTCAAAGGGAAAATCACTCACTCCAGAGTAGAAAATATGAACACACGAATGTTCTGCACTTTAATAATCTGAGCATTCCATTTTCTTACCGTTCAACAACTGTTTACTCTGCATATATATTTGTAATCCTATTTATACGCTTATGCATATATATAGTACATTTTATACATTCATATTTAAAGGGGACCTATCATGCAAAATGCACTTTTGTACGTCTTTTATACATGAATATGTGTCCCCGGTGTGTCAGGGAACTCACCAAGTGTCAGAAAACACAACCCTCTCTCTTTTCCTCCATACCCAAATCTCTAAAAACGGGGCTGCAACGGAACTGATACAGATTTGAATTGTTTTCTGACGTCAGAAAAGGGGTGCTCTGCCTATATGGGCAAATCTCCACCGATCAGGGGAATGAGAGGCCGCTCGAAAGCGCTGGAGACGCTGTAGTACCAGGGTTGCCAACTCTCACGCATCTGGCGTGTGACACACGCTTTCACTTTCAATCTCACGCTCTCACGCTGCCCAAACTATTCTCACGCCAAAAACAAGATGAACTGGCGATCGTTTTTGGTTGGTTATTTACAATGTTGAGTTGACAGCTGCTCGAGCTGTCAATCCGCTCCCTCCCCGCCCCCACCACTCTTAACAATGTTAACAGACAGCAGAGCAGTGCGAGCCGGTTGGTCAATCCGACCCGTATTGCGCAAGCGCAGATCTAAGATCCAGTAGAAATGATAAAAAAGTAAAAGTCTGCTGCTTATTGTTCTACTAGACCAAAATAGAGTCAAAGAGTATATGAGAGTGAGAGTGCGTTAATTAATATATTTGGCAGTTTGGAGTAAGTCTGTAGATTTGTTTGTGTGTGTGTGTTTCATGTATAGGCCTCACGATAATTAATTTTGTTGGATACATTTTCCCGGAAATTATTGCGATAAACGATAATATTGTCGGCACCGTTGTATGACCATTTTAGACCACTGACATAATGACAATATATAATAATAATTCAAGTACATCCTTTCAAACTGCTAATCACATCCTCATGTAAATGGAAATGTATCGAGTTCATTTTTATTTATCGTACAATAAATCAATTAATTGCTTATCGCGACAGGCACACAATAAAACAGTGGAAACAAACATGTGTTTGACTTTCATTAGTGAATGAAACGTTGTGCCCTTTTTAGTCTGTGTCCAATATTGTGTATTTGTATATATTGTATATATATCCTATATATATATGCTAAGGTCCCGCTGCTGACACGATAGCAGTCATTTAGTGCGCATATGTGTAATTAAACCCATGATATCAAAATCTCACTCCAGCCAGGTACCCAAAGTTGGCAACCCTGTGTAGTACCTATGCCAGGCCTGTAAGTGGCGCTGTAGTCTGCCACAAAAGCAGAATCAGCCCTTGCAAAAACAGGGCTGGAAAAGAGTAAATAGAGCGAGACACGTTTTATATAGGTATGGCCCTACAATATATGTTTCAAATATAGCATGATAGGTCCACTTTAAATTAAATAATGTTTATTTTAAAGAGGCCATATTATGCTCATTTTCAGGTATTATTATTATTGGATTTAGTGTCTCTCCTGTGACATGTCTCCATGCTTTAATGTCCAAAAAGCTCTTTATTTTTCTCATACTGCCTGTGCTGCAGCACCTCTTTTCACCCACTGTCTGAAACCAGAGCCCAGTCTGCTCTGATTGGTTAGCTGACTGGCTCTGTTGTGATTGGTCAACCGCTTAGAGATGTCCCGCACCTTACCTATCGTGTACAATGTGTTGGAGGGATAGCAGATAGACGCACAAGTGTTACAAAGTGATGTCATCATGTTCGGGAAGTAAACAAAAGAGACCAACGGAGGCTTTTCAGGCAGCGAGAGAGGGGGGGGGGGTTGTGAGAGAAACTCCCTCTGAACTTTGGGATTTTAGCCTTTGCAGACCATTAACATGCAAAAAGAATCAAAGGGCCGCTTTAACGTATATTCAGCATTTGTTAACTGAATATATAAAACCCGATGTTTTTGGATCTTATTGTCTGTTATGTGGATCCTTTATTAACAGGTTGTGGTCGTCTGACTGCAGTTAGTATCCCAATCACCGTGAGAGCCTCGGGGTCCCGCTTCGGCTCCTGGATGACTGACGCCATGATTCCCAGCTCTGACAGCAGGGTAGGTCCTCAGTGTCTGTGTGTGTGTGTGTGTGTGTGTGTGTGTGTGTGTGTGTGTGTGTGTGTGTGTGTGTGTGTGTGTGTGTGTGTGGGTGTGTGTGTGTGTGTGTGTGTGTGGTGTGTGTGTGTGTGTGTGTGTGGTGTGTGTGCTGTGTGTGTGTGTGTGTGTGTGTGTGTGTGTGTGTGTGCTGTGTGTGTGTGTGTGTGTGTGTGTGTGTGTGTGTGTGTGTGTGTGTGTGTGTGTGTGTGTGTGTGTGTGTGTGTGTGTGTGTGTGGTTGATTCACTACAAGAAAACCAGGTGTAATGTATGTGGTTATTAAGCTGTCTTTCTTTATGTATTTTCTGTCTTACTGCCTTACTTCCAACGTGACTCCTGTGTGCACTTTGTCTTCACTCGCTACAAGGTTCACCCATTTTCTCCACACTTACACACACACACACACACACACACACACACACACACACACACACACACACACACACACACTCTGTGCAGCCGGTGCGTATTAAGCTAGTTGTCAAGGCGACTGTCTCCCAGTTGCCAGGTGTGATTTATATCGCCATGCTGACCCTTGCCTGTTCCCTATTAGAGCTTCTCCCTTGTGATGCAATGGAGCTGTCCCCAGCGGCAGCTTCCCAGTTACTGCCTTCCCAGTTACTCGTGACACTTTTACTGTAATGGGTTGGGGCTCCTTCCTGCTCCCAGTGTCTCTTTGCATATTTGTCCCTAGAATAGGAAACTGAATGAGAAAAGTAAAGCTCTTTTTGAACATTAAAGTATGTAAACATGTCACAGAGGCACAAAAATGAACCTGAAAATGAGCATAACAGGGCCTTTAAAGACACATCTAGTAAATGTTCTTTCTGGATTTGTATTGCAAATGAGTCAGGGAAACTATAAAAAAGCTTTAATCAGCTGAAATCACTTTCATCTTGCTTTTCTTCGAGCTTAAAAGGTCGGCCGTCGATAGATGTCGATAGACAAACATGTTATTTTAAATCTGCTGTTCCTTGCCAAAACGTATTTCCTTAAGGCCAAGCAAATGTGTTTGATACTTCCTCCTAAAACTTTTGAAGAGCAGTTTTTTTTAATTAAATTTAAAATCTGCATTGTTTAAAACATTTATGTATTTTTGCGTTGATCCTAGAATGTCTACCTTTGTTACGACAACTTGAAATATATTGACTATCGATACCACAGAGAGCGCAACAAAGTGTATCCATACTGCAGAAAATAAGTATTGTAAGCGTTTCAAATATTTTAAGTCAATATGATCCAAAAGGTATATTCATCTCAAAAAGCTAGAATGGTTTTAAGGAGAAATGGATATATCTTTGGAATGAGTTCATTCCTATGAAAGTTGCTCAATGCACACATAAACAGAAAAGGTCTCTGCAATGAGCGAAACGTTTTAATTTCCGATAACAGATTTTCTCCCTCGACAAATACAGATATAATCCAAACAGTGATGACTGTGAGCACTTCTAGCTTCTTACACTTCTTATACCAGCAGGTGATCTTTGATATTTCATAAGGTCATGATTGTGAGGTATTCTGGCAAAAAAAAAAGAATCGGGCAAAGAAATACAGTTTTAAATAAATATATTTTAAGATTAGGATAATTGATAAAGTCATTAAACATTACATTGATATGGTGTGACAACCTCTATCTTATCTTTTAAAGCTGTGTAAAACTAGGAATACACACACACACACACACACACACACACACACACACACACACACACACTATAAGTAAAGTCATTCTCATACATGTACATCCTTTGGTATCCATGACTACAGTGTCTGCACTGAGTCCCAGTTTGGCATTTATGAATTCTTCATTAGCTCATCAGTGTGTGAGTGTGTGTGCACGCATTGTACTTCACACTCACACACACACGCATGCACACACCTGTCGCTGTATTTGAGAACAGCTGCTGAGGTGTGGATATGCACTGATCTGTCAAGATGTCTCTGCTGGGGAGGGAGGAAGATGAAGAGAGAGAGAGAGAGACGCAGGAGAGATCAGGAACTTTTGGAGGTGAGAAGCCGGGGCGGCAGACAGGAAAATGAAAGAGGGGGTGGACAGAAAGAAGAATAAACAAAGAGAGAGGGGGAAGATGGGGGAAGGTTGATCAAAAGAGCAATAGTCGGGACAGACAAGATGTTATGAAAGACGCATTGGAGGGAGAGGAAGAACAGGTTATAGTAGGCATTAAAGATCGGTTTGTTTTCTTATGGTCATTGGTTGCTGTTATGGTTCTTGTTCTTCTCTAGACTGATCGTGAATCAATCCCTTCCTATATTAACTTTACCGTAACAGATAAAGGCAATTCAAAGTTCTTCCTCTGTTTAAATTAAGCACGACGATGTATAATGCAAGGATTAAAACGTACATTACATGGATATTATGTTTAAACGTGTGCATACTTTTCCATTTCCATGTTTAACTTGCTAACGCGCTACGTGTTTGGTTAGCAGGTACGGTAGCATTGCAACGGCCCAGAACACTTCCATTAGGAGAAACCTGCTGCAGTTTCAAAAGTGATGCAAATATAAAAAGACAAAAGTGCCAAAACACACAAGCAAATAGAGAAAGATTCACCGCCTTGAGAAAACACGTGTCGCATTTAATAAAACAAAACAAAACGCTGCAAGAAGAAGCTCAAGTTGGATGAAGTGTTTATTCATTTGAATGTGTTTTGGCACCTTTTTATGTTTACATGGTTTATGAAACGGCAGCGCGTAGCTCTCGATGTAAGTGTTTTGGGCCGCTATAATGCCTTTGCACCATGGTTTGCACCTGTCAGCCACCGTACCTACTAACCAATCACGCTGCTTGACGCACAGATCGGCACAGCGAATTGTTGAGATTTGGCAGGAGTGTGCGTTGGCTCCTCATAACTTCAGTGTAACAAAGTAATCTAGCAGGATTGGACGTTTTCATTTGAAAATCCAACAAAGTGTGCTGCCAGTTTATGGAGGCTGTGGCTCAGTGGAATAGTGCGCTGAACTTTGAATCAGGGGATAGCAAGTTCGAGTCCCACTGCAGTCAGCACTTCACCCCAAAATGGCTCCTGTGAGGATTGTCCACAGTACTGAATGTATGTAGTTCGCTTTGGATAAAAGCGTCTAAACAAGTAACATGTAATGTAATGTCGCAAGGCAAGTTTATTTATATAGCACCTTTCAACACAGGGTAATTCAAAGTGTTTTACAAAAATAAAAGACATTAAGAAAATGTCATTTAAAAACAGTCACTTGAGACATGATAACACCGGTCACTACTACGACTATTAGAAACTCTCCCTGCCTGCCAGTAGCTTTGCCAATACCTGTGTTGATAGGTAATAGAGTAAGAGCTGTGAATCATCTTAGAAACAGGAAGCGTTCAAACATTTGTGTGCATTTATCAAATGTAGCAGTGATTCCATGCCAGCCACAGATTGTCACAAACTTTATTAAATGTCAGGTCTTGGAACACACCATTTTAAGGCCGTATGATGTTCTTAAACTGCTAAGAAGGTATAAGCATTTTTCTATATTCATGCAACAATTGTTAGCTATTGTCACATGTATGCACTTGAGAACATGAGGGGGAAGGAAGGAAAGGGGTTGCTGCGACTTCAAGAAACGGGAAAGAAATCCTTTTCACTTTCTAGCACGCACCGTTCGTTGTACAATCATCATCTGGGAATTGTTTATACAAAGCAAATGGTGTGTTCAAATGCGAGACGATTACAGCTGCCAGACAAAACAAAGGGGCTCCAGTTCTTTTGAAACATTATTTTAAAGGGAAATAAAAGCAGCTTCATCAGATGAGCTGGTGAAGCACGGGGGAAGAAATTGGTTTGAACAAAACATATTTAGAGAAGGGAGAGAGCAATCAGTCTGCCTCATTGTCAAACCTCCAGCCAAGGCTCATTTAAACACTGTGTCCATGAAGGCTCTCAGAATCACTGCAATCAGTTGCCTTTGTCGGAAAGTCTCCAATTCAATGTGCATTTTAAATATTGCGACTCCAAATTAAGTGAAATTCAAAACATGGTGCTGCCACTGCAGGAGAGATTTGATCTTCTTTGACACACACAAGAAAAAGGAAAGATCCTCTTCATCGGCTCCCTGTTTTCTACCTATGTACTTTTCTCTGTTTGCAGAGGAAATAACGAGCGTCTTTTATTACCGACAATGCTCTCTTACCAGCTCTCTGATCTTTTCTTTCATCTATTTCACCTCTTGAGTAATTAATCCACCGTGCTGTCGACACACAATTTCCCTCCCATCTTGTTTCTCCCCCCTCCAGTCTTCCAGTTCTCAGTTTGTTTCTCCGGAGATCCTTGACGGGGGAAAGAGAGTTCCATATTGCAGATTTTATAAGCTCCAGCAAACAAGTGTTAGCTAATTAATGTTGACTCCATATGGCTTGATAACTGTCTAATTTGAAGTACATATTGACTTGATGCCTACTAACATATGCTAAAAGATCATACCCCGGATCTTTCTTTGTTACGGCCAAGCTAACATAGGATGTTCACTGTTCTGAGTGAGTCAGGAGCCCAAGATACGATTGTATAGACATTATATCTACATTTAAAAACATTGAAAATATAAATCTAGTACACAAACATGTGCTAACAACATTTTTTAAGCAGTGTCGCTGCTGTAGGAAGTCCAAAAAAACGAACCGCGCACCTCTTTCCGTTAATTTGAACAATTATCATAAGCAAGGCAAGTTTATTTATATAGCACCTTTCAACACAAGGCAATTCAAAGTGCTTTACAAAAATGAAAGACATTAAGAAAATGGCATTTAAAAACAGTCATTAAAAAGAAAAGCTAATTAATTAAACATTAAAAGAAAAAATACATGGATAAAAGTTACAGTGCAGTTTAAGATGTGAATAGTTCAATTAAAAGCAGCGGCAAAAAGAAAAGTCTTCAGCCTGGATTTAAAAGTAGTCAGAGTTGCAGCGGACCTGCAGGTTTCTGGGAGTTTGTTCCAGATATTTGGAGCATAATAACTGAACGCTGCTTCTCCATGTTTAGTTCTGTCTCTGGGGACAGAAAGCTGACCAGTCCCTGAAGACCTGAGAGATCTGGATGGTTCATAATTTAGCAGGAGGTCAGAAATGTATTTTGGGCCTAAACCATTCAAAGCTTTATAAACCAGCAGCAGTATTTAGAAATCTATTCTTTGACACACAGGAAGCCAGTGTAAAGACTTCAGAACAGGAGTGATGTGATCCACTTTCTTAGTGTTAGTGAGGACTCGAGCAGCGGCGTTCTGAATCAGCTGCAGCTTCCTAATATGAGACCTGTGAAGACACCATTGCAGTAGTCGAGTCTACTGAAGATAAAAGCATGGACAAGTTTTTCCAAATCCTGCTGTGACATTAGTCTTTTAATCCTAGATATATTCTTTAGGTGATAGTAGGCTGATTTAGTAACTGTTTTAATGTGACTGTTGAAACTCAGGTCAGAGTCCATGACTACACCCGGGGCAAAAACACAGTACCAGCAGTTGAAGGGAGATGGCGTTTGTGATGGTGATTACGGTGAAATTGCGTCAGAAAATGCGGTTTAAAGTTGCAGTAGAATATCTGTCAACTGAAAATGTCACCTCCCGCTCTCTGTTCATACAAAACCACAAGCTAGCCGGTGAATGCAGTCAGGTTAAACCCCCACTAACTCCGTCACAAGCTCCAGTGCATGCCCTCCACCAATAATAGGGGAAAATACCACATTATAAATAAAAAACACCTTTGATATGGCTCCGACAAGCAGTTAGCCTTTCTTGATGAGCTACATTTTGCACACACAAAAACAACAGCTCCCTGAATATCCAAATCATTAAGATTAGATTCAATATATATAAATATAAACAAAGCCATAGTGAAGGAAATATATATCTATAGAGTATACTGAATACACAATATAAATATACAGAATTGAAGGCATTGTACATTATGATACTGCAGGTCCGCCTATCACAATATCAACAAGTTAGCTACCCAACAAAGAAATAGTTGAATATTCAGGTCGAGGCTTAGAAACACTAGACAGTGGATGTGTCATGGCTATTTCTAATTGAATCTGTACTCTCACATGAATATGCTGCGCTCCTTAGTGTTAGAATAACGCTGCTGATGAAATGACTTCCTTAAATATGCGTAAGCTGGCTAGCTGAAACACATTTCTTTGTATTTTTAGCTTGCAGAAAGCAATTTCAGAAAGCAGAGACCTCTTCTGAAATTGAGCATCACTCACTGCGCTCTCTTTTGCACGTCTTACAAAATCTACTGTATTTCCAATGTTGATATTTATGTTCTTTATGAATCGTCATTTTTTGTGTGTGTAGATGCAAAGTCTAAAATGCGCTACATAAATAAACCTACCTCACCTCACTAAAGTCCCATGCACTTGTATGTACACAGCATGTGTAGAAATCAAAATCCTGACATACGTGCTGTGCCTAGTAACAGTTGCTAATCTATGATTAGACAACCGCTGTTCAGATGAGTAGTTTAGCTTACCGCCTTTTAAATATCTTGTTTGCCGTCATTGTTAAGGTGTGAGGTTAAAGTAGCAGCCTAGTAATACATTAAAGGTCTCAGATACATACAAAACATGTCTCTGAAGTGTTTGGCTCCAAACACCAAACAGATCATGGCAGCATTACCCATAATCCCCTCTGTTTCAGCCCTGTTTCCAAAGTGCTGATTCTCTGTCTGTTACTTTAGATGAAAACAAGGAGCCCCTCCCCACGCCCCTCTGAGAGAGATTTGGTTACAAAGAACACAATGGTGCTTTAGGAGGAGATTCAGGTGATAAGGGGGGGGGGGGGGGGTTACCTTGATTGGTGATTGGCTAATGGTTACACAAGACAAAAAAATCGTTATGACATCACAAAGTGGCCAAATTCTGTTCAGCTCATTTTCAGACAGGTTTTTATAGAAATGGATCAGGACAAAAAGAGAGAATCTTTTTTCCTGAAACGTTCAGAGTCTCTTTCCACAGAGGGGACACATGTTGATGTAGAAGAGACATGAACAAGTGGATTTTGCTTAATAGGTGACCTTTAAAGCTTGGTTTTGCCTCCTGGACTCAGAGTTAAAGCTTCTCCTCCTTCCTCCATCAGGTGTGGTCGATGGACGGCTACTATAAGGGCAGGCGTGTGTTGGAGTACAGAACCATGGGGGATTTCACAAAGGGGCAGAACTTTGTGCAGCATCTGTTGCCTCACCCCTGGGCAGGAACCGGACACGTGGTGTACAACGGGTCCCTCTTCTACAACAAACACCAGAGCAACATCCTGGTAAGAGAGTGGCTGGAATAAAAATACAACAAGCTTTGGGAAGAACTCCCCTCTCCTCGTAACTTTTGGTCACAACGGTTTCAAATCAGCATCTCTTGGATAAAAGATAATATATAATAACTCGAATAAAAGTCAAAGATTAATAATAATTAATACAAGTTAATTTCCTCTATACCTCTTTTTGTGTTAAAATCTGATGTTTATAAGATGCTTGCTTTTTGCAGCAGTCCCTGTAAATATATAAAACGTAGCAATCAAATTCACACGTTTACCGTTTTCTAGACACGGGTTCCTGATCCTAAGTAAAAAAAAAAACGAGGTAACCACGAAGTTGTTAACATATGAATGATGATATTAAATACAAATTAAATCTTGTTTTGAGCATTTTACTTGTTAACTGTTTGTAAACAGCGTGTTTCATGACGGTCAGGTAGGGTGAAGTCAGGACTGATGCAGACTCGCTCTTGGGGGGTTTGATAACCCACTCCCCACTTGTTGGTTTGGAACACTTGGAATGTGGCAGACCCTACCGCGAACGCACCAACAGAGTGATGTGGTGTAGGGTTCGGTTTAATATTGGGGCACCCATCAGTTGGCCACCAGTCGATCATTGTTCTTAATCCGATTTCTTTGCACCGGTTACATTTAAAAAACATGAGCCCAAACAAAGTTATTTGATACTCACACTGCAGCACAGACAGTGATGTCACGTGTGTTGTTTTACACGTATGTTGCGCCTGATTGCTTCTGGCAAAGTTAAATATGTTAGATAACGATTTCATTTTCAGTCCGATTGTATTTGTCCTAAGATCTCTAAGATATGTTTGTGAGAGAACGTCCTGTTACTTGTTGCAATGTTGGAGAATATGTAAGTTAGTTAGTGTTTTATTGTAAACATGCAGTACAAATATTCATTGTGAAACGTTAAAGAAAAATATGTGTGTGCTGTCAGTTACAGTCTTTGCAGTCTCAACTAATTATACGCTTTTTGTTTTAGTTTTTTCATGAACCCGGGGAAATGTCTGCATGTCCTGCTGTAGGTTATCCTAATTCGAGCAAGCAGCGCTGATGCTGCAGTACCAAAAACTGTCCAACTAATGACACTTTATGTTTGATCCTCTTGGTTTCTTTTCTGAAAGAAAGAAAAGTCATCAAGTCAGCCTTTAAAAAGAAGGGGAAATCTGAATCGGCTAAGAAAAAGTGCAATGGGTTCATCTTAAAGGAGGAGCAACAGTTTGATAAAGACCAGAGTGATAAACGTGCCTCTCTTCCCAGGTTCAGTACCATTTCCGCTCCCGCAGTGTGTTGCTCCAGCGCAGCCTGAGTGGAGCGGGATACAACAACACCTTCCCCTACAGCTGGGGGGGCTCCTCCGACATCGACCTCATGGCCGACGAGTTGGGGCTGTGGGCCGTCTACACCTCCATCCCCAACGCTGGGAACATCATGGTACAGTCCGCTCACACAAAGAACATAAAGATGTGTTTTCACTCAGGTATATTTAGTGTGGTATAATTGATAATAGATCTAAACCTCATGACGACGTGTTGTCAGGTTTGTTTTACCCTTCAAAAGTGATAGACTGCTGCGCTGAATGTAATCTATCATAAAGAGTGTAGTTTAGCCTAACATGGTTCGGATATACATGATACAGCTATTTCCCTCTATATAAATGTGCACTTGTTACAAACCCTGCTTATAACAAGGACACAAGTCAGGGAGGGTGTGTGTGTGTGTGTGTGTGTGTGTGTGTGTGTGTGTGTGTGTGTGGCCTATACTTGTGGGGACCTAAATCTGTTTACAGTCACGTGTGGGGACTCGCCTCCCTTATGGGGACAAATTGGAGGTCCCCATAAGGGGAATCATTAATTTTAGGGTGAAGACTTGGTTAGGTTTAGGATTAGGGTAAGGGTTAGGTTAAGGGTTAGGGTAAGGGTAAGGTTAGGCATGTGTTGGTTATGGTTAAGGTTAGGATAAGTCTCCAGGAAATGCATGTAAGTCAATGTAATGTCCCCTGAAGTGATGTATACATGGTGTGTGTGTGTGTGTGTGTGTGTGTGTGTGTGTGTGTGTGTGTGTGTGTGTGTGTGTGTGTGTGTGTGTGTGTGTGTGTGTGTGTGTGTGTGTGTGTGTGTGTGTGTGTGTGTGTGTGTGTGTGTGTGTGTGTGTGTGTGTGTGTGTGTGTGTGTGTGTGTGTATTTAATCTAAAGATTGATGGAAAGGCTTAACTAAAATGTAAACAATTCATCTAGGAAGTGAAACGTCTTGCATTCACCAACATGATAAACAAATTACACTCCAAAGAAAAAGAACGAACGGAAGGGTGAACATGAGGGATGAAACCCCCTGAACCTACCCTCCTTTGGAGCTAAAGCACCAGCACTGACAATGGTTTGGTTTATTTGAAGCTGGTGTACCTGCAGGATTATTACAGATTTGAATATGTATCCTCTTGGTTGGTTTCACTTATTGCAAGTCGCTTTGAATAGAAGTGTCATGTAAATGTTATGTTAAGAGCGCTCTAAAGAGATTACATTTACAAGTACAACAGGTACTATATAACCTGACTCACACTTGTTAAAGCCCTCCTTCAAACAGCCATTGTTCAGTCATAAGCTTTCAGACAGAATTTCTCATATATTTGGACAGAATTCAGCAAAAGGAAACACGAGGCATCAGTGGACCTTTCAGTGGACCTTTCAGACACATGATGTGGTTTTCACTGGGTCTGTTACCATTTGTTTCATTTGACATTTATCAATGCGGCAACTTTTCCGTCCTAGCCTAGTGTGTCACTTTTATAAACACATATTTAGTTTTTTATGATAATGTGCATGAAAACAGCAAGTTGTGGACGTATCCCTTTTTCTAATTCAATGTATCTGAAGTTAATTGGAGGTTATTCAGATCACCTGTTGTGCGAGAGGTGGGGAATGGCTTCTAATTAGCCATTAAAAACAGCTGGGTGCATTTCCCCTCTCAGCCAATCAGAGTGACGAGGCCCCTTCACAGCTTAGCAGAGGAGGAGGGGTGCACACCCAGGAGGTTCTGATGCTTCCTTGGTTTAATGCGCACTTCATTTCAGCAAATATTGTCAGCCAGAAACTCTGGTAATTTTTAGACTTCTTAGCTTCTTCACTTTTTTCTCAATGAGGGTGATTTTAAGCTTTCAGTAACCTTGCTCAAATTAAATTGCCTGCATCAAAACAGACTTCAGTCAAATGTGTGCACGAGTGTATGCTTCAAGCGGCAGCCTAATGCTTGCAGGATTTCTTTTTTGGTTTATTAATTATCAAAACACAAATTAATTAATAACTATGAAGGAGAGGCGTTTGTTTTTTAAGTAAAGAGGAATCTTACTATATTTTTTTAATTTGTATTTTATTTGTATCAAGAGAACTTGTTTTCATTGTAAATAATCTCAGCGAAGTTGAAGTTTCCTCAAATAAGATAAGATTTTAACTGAATGTTGTTGGGAACTGGTGAACTGGTTTATTCCCAATAAGTTGACATCATCACTGACAAGCCTTTGTAGCCAACTGATAAGGAGTTTTTTTACAAAGACACATGAGAAAAATATGTTTGTTTGTACTCTCTGGTTGACAAAATATCTAATGACACCACTTTTTTTGAACATATCCATGGCATTTTTTAACACAACGACCAACAATCTGGACAGACGTGTGCTAAAAGAGAGTACAGTTTATGCACTAAGATATTATTGGCCAATATGTCAGCCTGGTAAGGACCTTATTGGATTAATGACAATTATTCACAGTCCATCAATGGAGGCAACACAGCTGGGCACACAAAAGGCCATTTCTCATACAATTCAACAAACATTGTGAAAACAGAACATTGTTCAGAGCTCTGCAATGGGATGTTGACGTTTATAACCTAAACCGTTTTATGATCTTACATCTGACCCTCCTCTCTCTGTGTGCAGGTGAGTCGTCTGGACTCTAACTCCCTGGAAGTCCTCCGCAGCTGGGACACGGGGTTTCCTAAGCGCAGCGCAGGGGAGTCCTTCATGATCTGCGGCACGCTGTACGTCACCAACTCCCACCTGGCCGGGGCCAAGGTTCACTTCGCCTACCACACCAACACCTCCTCGTACGAGTACACCGACATCCCGTTCCACAACCAGTACTCTCACATCAGCATGATGGACTACAACCCCCGAGAGAGAGCGCTGTACACCTGGAACAACGGACACCAGGTGCTGTACAACGTCACGCTGTTTCACGTCATCAGGAGCGACGGATAGATCGACATGGTGAAGAAAAAAGAGGGTACTCAAGACACACACACACATACACACACACACACACACATGCACACACTCATGTCAACAGGAAATAGAGTACCGTCTGAGTTTGAAGGCCTTCTGGACTGAGAGAGCTAACTGAGCTAATAACAAGACACTAAACAGTTTTCAGACACGTGCCCAAAGGTCACGGACAGGAGTATTCATCACGGTGAGAGAAGAAAATGAACTGCTTCTGCTACAGGGGACGCTGAAGAAAAGAAGACAGTTTAAGCTCATCCATATTCTGTTGCGTTTTATTCCACTTGTGTCTCAAGAAGTGACGTTAAGCCAAATCGTCGAGAGAGAAAAGAAAAAAAGGACCTTGAGCTCTGGCGACGGCCCGGAGGGAGATATTCTGGGTCTGTGATGTGGTCGTGGACGTGTTCAGTCAGCATGGTTGTTCATTCAATAAACATTACTGTCAAACTTTACAAGCTGTGGTCTCCTCTGTTTTAAAGCAGGTACAGTTAAAGGGTGACACGAACCATTCGTTTTTTCCATGTTTTTAAACACAAAATGTAAAAAAAAACACAACAAAACAAAACCATGACTCATCAAATATTAAAATCATTGCGAATGACCCTCTAGAAGTGTATGTTGTTGAGTGAATTCTCTTATTTTGCTGTGTTTGCAAAGTTTCTGTGCAACCTTTGCAATAACTCACTGACTCGGTGATCACGAGCGAGGATCAAAAATCAAAAGCGTCTGTAATGGAAACGTCTGGAGGTGAAGTGGAGTCGAAACACAGTGAGACACGGGGGAGCTGGACCTTGATGGGAAACACTGAAGATGTATTAGAATTTACGGCCGGAGAATTGAGAAAGACATTTGCTGCAGCCACAAGGTGACCCGAACCAATTCTGAAGATCTCTCCCCCATGTCCCAGCTGGTTCTGAGAGAATAATCAATATTCTGCATAACAAGATTAAACTATAGGCAAAGCACTATAACGCCTCTATCAGCTGATGCCAACATGCAGGAGACGAAACACTGAGAGCTCAGCAGCCCAATGTCGCAGGCCTGTGCTCAGCGAGGGCAGTGAAACAGATACACTTAAAGTTATGGGCATATAGCAAAATATTTCCTCAACAGCGTCCAATACAAAGATTGCAACATGAAAAACATAAAAATAGTTCAGCAAAACAGCTTTGAATGGGATCCTTCTCATCGTGCCTTTATATGAACCTGTTTGTCTCACTTCTTGTGCGCATATGTGTGAAAATAGACAGGATGTTGTGTTCATATTTCAATTTATGAAGATTATTTATCTTGCCGAGACACAACCAAGAATGAAAAGACGAGATCTCAGACACTGAGAGAACCTTCTTATTTCCACGAATAATAATACAAACCGGGAAATTTGCAACTGGGTCAATTTGATTTATACAGGTAAGTATATTATTTATATTGATTCATGTAGTCCTGGGCTTGCCCTGCACTGTACTGTGAGTCTCCCTTTTCTGCTTAACTTACAAAATAATTTCCACATTATTCTTTTCTCATGTCAGAAAGTGAACAAGGTATGTTCTTGGATTTGGTTACTGACACATTTTATAAGCAGGAAATAAGTAATTGTGTTTGAATAGATTGTTAAGGAGAACTTTTAATCTTGGAGTGCTGATACAAAGGTTAACCTGCTCATTATTATCTAAGTGGCTATTATGATCTGAAAATCGAATTCCACATCCCTCGAAATAACACACAGACACACACACACACACACACACACACTGGATCGATACGAAGAGATGGAGGATCACACAGGATGTCGGCTATATTTGGATATTTCCGTGGAAACATCACAAATGGCCATTTTGTTGCCATAGTGACTGTAACGATGTTGTGTGCCGCGAGTTTGGGTCACTGCTTCAGAAACTAGATTTCACTCCACATCCTTCATTGGCTTTTCCCTCTAACTCGGTTTTTAATTTGAGACCTTTGATATATACAATGATCACATGTTTACATTGTATTGACATCACATAACACTCGCGCTTCTATTTGCTAGCGCTCCAACCCATTGTAGTGTGTGATAGGCTGAGGGGTGGGACATCTCTTAGCGGTTTACCAATCACAACAGAGCCGGCCAGCTAACCAATCAGAGCAGACTGGGCTCTGGTTTCAGACAGAGGGTGAAAATAAGGAACTGTTTGGACATTAAAGCATGGAGACATGTCACAGAGACACAACATACTGAGTAGAATAGGGCCCCTTTAAAGAGTCCATCTTTCCTCAGCCTGCTTCGTTGACTTCAGAGTGTGGTTTTCTGCACAGTCCTGAGAGAGAACAGGTGTGAACCTGCTGCACCTGTTCACTTTCCTTCCAACAACAATAATTAGTTGATTATAACCAGAACGAGGCGATGCTTATTTAATTACAGCGCTTATATAAACGTCTTAACAAGGTTTGTTTTGTGCATCAAGGTCATTTTGAAAGGATTTTACAGAGCTAGGTTACTCAACAAACTTCTGCATCAAGTTCAGGTCACAGAAAATGTTTTTCATAATTCATACAAATAATAGCAATGCTGCAGGGTGTCTTGAGGTTTATACTATATGGTTGTGATATTATCTTTGTTAGGAAATAGATTTTGAAACACCGCTAAACCATTTTTTTTCTCGCAGACAGGAAATGCATGCTCGGCTTCGTCAGGACTGCAATTTATGTGAATGGGAGAGAAGTGTGTTGTTTCTGATAAACCTCTAAGTGCTTTTTGGAGCAGCATAACGTTTTGAAAGAAAACATTGATATATTTTCACCACTTAAGTTCGTACAGCAAACTTTAGCGGTGATTTTATAGAAAGTTTCATTGAAAAAACGTTATTTAGTACTTACCATGCGAATTAATGGAGACATTTTGTGTTTAGTTCAATACAAGTTTCCTTTAAAGCATAGCTCCATTTATATAAAAGATAATATTATTATCATTTATCATTGTACGCTTACCTTTTAGGGATATGTTAGCGTTTTCAGCAGACCTGCTCCCTAAAATACTCTGTAGATGAGCAACTAAGTGCACACATTGAACACTGTCTCCTGTAATTATTGCAAAATCAAATTGCTCTTTCCAGGAAACCTCACAGGAAATCATTACAAAATTATCTTAAAGGCCAGCAACCAGATTAGCCCAAATTTGATATTAGAGTCCATCTATCATCTCTAATTGTCTCATTGGAGCCGAATGCATAAATTACACAACAGGTCCTTGTCTAGACTTCCAGTTTGTGATGTCTTCCTTGCAGACATGTTACATAACACACATTTTAACTCTGCTTTCTGAGCATATTATTGGATTCACTTTACTCCGACAGACTGACGGTTTGATGTCCCTGCATCCTTTTGTGTTTCTCCACCTTTATGTATCCCTCTCTCTTTTTATTATCCCACCTTCCTGCTGTCTTTGGCAAAGGCCCCAGTCACTTTGGCACAGTCCCTGCTGCAAGGCTTCCTTCGCCCAACCATCTATCACCGTCATTGGCTCCCATTTTCTGCATAGTGAGAGGGCTGCTCCGGAAAGACCCACCGGAATTCCACACAGGGATATGCAGACACACACACCACACACACACACACACACACACACACACACACACACACACACACACACACACACACACACAAATACACACACATCCTCGAAACAAAACCCAGCCTGATATATCATTTCTTACCTTTTCATTATTAATCTCTATCTGTCCATCTATCCTTTTGGCATAGGTCTCCCAGGCAGATATCAGCCTGATAAATAATTGACTGCTGTTAAAAGAGACCACCTGAGGGGGCAGAGGAGGGAGAGGAGGACCTTTAGTGGAGAAATAAAATCCGGATATGGGAGAGAGGGAACGGAGCGTAGCCTAAACGCAGAGCCGAGCTCAGTGAGAGACACACGGCCTGTGATCATGTTTAATTAATGACGGCGGGATCGGTCTATTAAACAAGGACACCGGCTGAAAGACGAGGAGGGAAACATGGACGACAGCCAGGAGGTCAGAGAAGAGCACAGTGTGTCGAAAGTAGGGGAAATAAAGAGGTTTGTAAAGGAGAAACAGAAAGGATGTGGGGGCAAGAGAGAGAAAAGAGGCATCAGGTTCCAACTGGGCTGCTGTTTCTATAAATAGACTTCAGCGCACATTGGGGAATGGAAACCCAATTAGAATAAAGCTGTGACAGTAAAGCCTCACTCAGTCACACATGCACTCAGAAACCTGTCAGACTTGCTGTTGTCACTTACCTGCATCAGGGTCGGGATGGGTGTTGTTAAATCACCCAGACTGATAATGGAGACCCTCGCCGATGTTTGTTTGTTCGGTCGGCCATGTTGTGTGCAGAGGTGGAAACTCTCTCATCAGGGCCTGACGGGCTGTGATGCATTTGGGGAAGTTTGTGTGGTAGCTCTGATGTGAATCAGCAGTGTTGCAGCAGTTAAGTAACAAAAGGGTTTTGTGGGTTACCGCTGTTGCAGAGAAGGGACAGGGTTCTTTAATCAGCAAGCAAAAACTTGGCATTGGATAAAAGTTGCAGAATTTCGCTTTTTTCTGCCAATAGGTCCAGACATACTTCATGCCTCAAGATAAACGGAATTGATTCGATATCTGGACCTCCTGCTAAAATCCGACATCTGCCCATGGAACCTTTTTATTGACATTTACAAAGAGGTTGAAGTTTTTATTTTTCAATTTTTTGTTTATATTCTCTCCATAGAGACGGTACTAGACGTGAACAAAATGGAGCCTAAGTGAAGTTAAAAGCTGCCTGGGCTACATAAAATATCACAATACATAAAAAGAAAAAAACGTTATTTTAGTTTGGCATGGTTTTCTCCAGTTTATGTAATTTGTGTCTTTCTTTTGTTGCAATAATCAACCCAATTACAGAAAAGGAAAAATAAAAACCGTCTTTAATAAGTGGTTTTCCTGGGATGAAAGCTAACAGCTTCAGCAAAGTTGGAAATTCAGAAGCAGTAAAACCTAAATGACGATCTAAATGCTTGAATACACAAATAAAACCTACTCCCAGATGGCACTGCAGATTGGGGAACATATAACTTAAAGTGGACAGCGTTGTTCTCCGCTCAGATGACTGATGACAATGACGACGTGTTGTAATTGTGTCTCACATACAAACAGCCTGCAGACCCCACACATTAAAGCATAATAGGGCCCCTTTAATGCGACGGTGGTGAAGAAAACCACTACCATGATCCTGATACTTCACCGCGCCACCAAACTCATTTTATTGCAATGGTTGAGAAATCCCAGCGGCATAAAGCGACATAATTCATTTTGCATTTAACATGTTGTATCGTACTTATTTAATATGTGTCAAGACCAACACTTAGTTCTGCTCGGCTTCATTCATGCACATTTTTGACGGTTGCACCATATGTGCTGTAAATGTAAAGTATTTGTCCTTGACAATAAGTGGACCACCTGTA